ATATATGTATATTATATATATATATATATATATACATATATATGTATATATATATATATATTGTATATAATATATATATACATATAATATGTATATTATATATGTATATAATATATATATATATATATGTATATATATTATATATATACATATATGTATATATATATATATATATATATTATATATATATATATTTATATATATATATATATATGTATTCTCTCTTTCTTTCTTTCTTTTTCATAGGTTCAATATATCATTGATTATAGTGTATGTTATTTATATTAGTCAATTTGCTTATTCATCTTTATTTATTGTTATTATTATTTTTTTTTTTTTCCACAAAATTTATCTAGTCTTGCAAGAGATTTGGTGTGTCTCCCCTGAGGGCTTTACTAATAATGTTTTATTAACTAGATCTTTTGAAAGAGTTAAGTTGACCCCTAAAACCCATTTCAGTATCACCCCTTTTGTCACCTCTTTTGTCTAACACTCTGGTGTGTGCTTGACCCGGTTAACGGATTCCGCCACACAAGCAAAGGTTTTCCGAATGCTGCCAAGTGAAATGGCCCTAGCCAGTGTTTGTGCCTGTGTCCAATTGTGTGCCGTTGTCCACAGCAAGCACGGGCGGAGCAGGAGGAGGAGTTCATCAGTAACACTCTGCTAAAGAAGATCCAAGCCCTGAAGAAGGAGAAGGAGACCCTAGCCTTAAACTATGAACAGGAGGAGGAGTGTCTTACGAACGACTTGTCCCGCAAGCTGAGCCAAGTGAGTTCATCATGGTGGGAGAGTAGGCTGTTGGCCATCCTTCCCCGCCCCCCTTCTCTCATTCTGTCTCTCACATTTCTTTTTTCCTTCTTATATTCCTTCCTTCCTTCCTTCCTTCCTTTCTTCCTTTATGTGTAAATATATTCTTCTTGTTCCTGTTCCTCCATTTTGTTTTTCTTTTTTCCATATACTTAATTGTCTCTCATGTTTCCTTCCCCCATTTCCTCCAGCCCTCTTGCTTTCATCTAGCTTTGTCATGTCTCTCCCTTCTTTTTCCTATTGTAAACTCTTGTTTTATTTTGTGCTTAGAATTAGCATTGTTCTGCCAGGTGTGCCATCCTGGTAGCTGTAGTTTTGTTTACATTGAAAATGCATTTGTGGAATGTCAGTGCCATGCTTTTGAATTTGAAAAGAGCTATGTTAACCATAAATTTTGTTTTGTTTTGTTTTTTGCTGCTTTTAACAGAACAATAGAATTTTAAGATAATTTTAAAACTGAGATTTGTGTGTTCAGGATACCTGTGCTAGAAGCATGGTACCACCATAGTTTCCAACCCTTTCTAATCAAGGGAGACAGTAAATTGGAATTTTGCACTTAATTACTTATTTGTACTTGTATCTATAGAGGTACACACATCCACAATATAGATACACATAAACTTACACATGTACTTATACATATACATGCACATACACTTAGACACACACTCTCACTGACACCCACACTTTCACTCACACCCACACTCTCACTCACACCCACACTCAAACTCACACTCACACTCACACTCACACTCAAACTCAAACTCACACTCACTCACTCACTCTCACTCTCATTTACTCATTCACACTCTCATTCACTCACTCACACTCTCATTCACTCACTTACACTCACACTCGCGCACTCAAACTCGCACTATCACACACACTCATTGACTCCCATTCTCACTTACTCCCCTCTTCAATCTCACTCACTCACACTCTCAATCTCACTCACTCACACTCTCAATCTCACTCACTCACACTCTCAATCTCACTCACTCACACTCTCAATCTCACTCACTTCACACTCTAATCTCACTCACTCACTCTTTTCTCACTCACACTCACACTCTCAATTTTCA